TGAATTACACCGAAGACATGAGAAATCAGTCTATGCACATTCACATCTGTTATTTTTGAATAGTGGGAAGCAGTTTAAGAGCTCAACAAGTAAGCCACCTAATATATCTGTGTGAAAATCCAAACCACATTTCTATTTGATGCTTAGAAATGTGTCATTAGGCGCTTTCACACCGGAGTACTTTTCCCAGTATAGTTCCGAAATATTTCCGAAAATGTGCGTTCAACTTCACTTCACACCAAAAAAATCCGGAATTAGAACTTAGTTAATGAGAACCTTTCCACCCCCTTTTTAGTCCCTGCTAGAGAGCAGGTACTTTCATGGTAGAAAAAGGTTCCCATTTCTGATTGGCTGGGCGGATTGCAAACCAAGCCCCGTAAAACTCCCAAAAAGTTTTGTGAAGCCGCCATTTTATTTGCATGCATTAGCATTATTAGCATTAGCCCAGCGCACCAACGGAGAGAGACTAACTTATGGAAACACAAAATAAAATGTGGGAGCGGTGGAGATGAGGAGGTGTCGGCGTTTCTGCCGATTTACTCTGAAGGCTTCAGCTTCTACTGAAGCCAGTCCCCAACCCAGGGGATTTACGGCCGAGGACTTTGGGTGGCAGTATAAGCAAATATGAATATACATACAACCTGAAAACATATGCTTCTGGCCACAGCTTTAACAATTGGTCTTATAGGTAAGAGATTTTGTTCTTCTTTTTGTAAACAGAGCATTTACAGACCTGTTGAAGGAGGCCTGCATCTGGGATGCGTCGTGGATTCCTGAGCGGGAGAGCGGAGGAGACGAATCGCCGCCAAACAGATGTCTCTCTACAAATGCTGTCAGATAAAACAGGAGAACTCGTAAGTATGAAGTCCTTATGTTCTTGGTATGGTTATGGGTACATTTTCCACCATAGAAAAGCCAGGTGTTACACAAATTCCTCGTAGATTTTTGGTCTAAGAACCACTATCGCTGCCTGCGTGGTAATATCTTCACATTTAAAGTTTAAATGCATAATTTAAAGATGGACCTGATGACTCCAGTTCCTCTTCTGGTGTGATTGTGGGTTCAGGGGCTGCAGATGGTTTCAGAGCCTCGGTGAACTCTGTGGATTCAGAGGCCTCAGTCTGGACGTCCTGCTCCACTGGAAGATCCGGGGATTCGACTTCAGCACCCGAGTCTGTGCCCTCAGTAACCTGGTGACAAACTAGTAGAATACAACATGTTTGTCAAGCCATGTTTTAGGGAAGTGTAAGAAAAACAATCTTTAACAACTCTTATTTTGGAATTGTAAATCTCAGAGCACATCTAGGTATCTTGGTGGGGTGACTTGGTGTGAGACTTCTAAAAAAGTAATTGAGAAATAAATAAACCTAATTACGCAAATGATTACCTTCCTGATAACCAAATGATTACCTTCCTGATAACCAAATGATTACCTTCCTGATAACCAAATGATTACCTTCCTGATAACCAAATGATTACCTTCCTGATAACCAAATGATTACATTCCTGCAACGGTCAGACTATACAACCAGCACAGCCCCTAGTTGCCCCCCCCCACACACACACACACACCACACATACTATATCACCCCTTGCTGCTAAATACCAACAAACTATGTGCAACATGTGCTATATAGATGCCGTTAATAACAGTGTAATATATACCTGGCTGCTAAATCCTTAGAACTGTTACAAGGTGTGTATTTTGTAAATTGTGTAACTTTTTATTTTTTATTATATCATAACTTAGTACTTTTTTTTTTTTTAATGCATGTCACATATTTAACATGATGTAACATTAAGCTGTCTGTGGCTCTTTTCCCTGCTGTAACTACGCACCTTTCCCCTCCGTGGGATTAATGAAGGTATTCTGAATTACCTTGAGTGGACGTCTCTTCTCGGGGAGGAGTTGCAGCATCTTCATGTTTGCTAATGGTCTGAACTTCCTGTTCATCCTCCTCTTTAGACTGAACGTCTTCCACATGTTTAGCCTCCTCTTCAAGACCACTTTCCATCACGTCCTCGAATGTTTCATTCTCCTCCTCTTCCTCCCTCGCTGTGTCCTCTGATGTCAGGACAGGGGTCTGCTCAGTGGTTTGTGAGAGCTGTTCCTCTGCTTCTTCATTTTCAGTTGGGTTTTTGATGTTCACTGTCACTACCTCGTCTTCTTCCGCTGTTTGCCCCTCCTCTCTTTCTTGGTCCTCTGGGAGAAGCAGTGCATCATAAAACTCCAGAGTGGTGTCGGACTTCTGGCTGGTGTCAAAGCTCAGGTTGAGTTTCGTGCGTGTTGCATCTGATGGTCTGGTTTTTGCAGCACTCTCATGGATGGAGATTGACTCGCTCACAAAGCATCTCAGCTCTGGGGAGGGAAGACCACCTTCTGGAGGCAGGAACTTCACATGAGGTTCTTCCCTTTCCTCCTCTTCTTCATCATCATCATCATCCTCGTCCTCCTCCGCAGGCTGTGCAGACCAGGTCTTATGTGTTGCCTTGGATAGAATGGGGTCTCTGGTCAACAAGCTAATCTCACTGTCTGCTGCCACCTAGAGAAGAAATCCAAAGAAGAGAGAAAACCCATTTTATTGACTAAAGCCCAGGAGGCAGGGAACACTTTACCAAAAAACACAATTTGGTTTGGCCCTTGATTTTTTTGTTTTGTCAATTAGATGTTGCCGAACAAACAAGATAGATAGGGTGGACATTGAGCAAGACCAACTTTATAAATGACATAAATTCTATCACAAAAATTAACCAAATGTAAGAGGACTAGTTCACACATTGCCTCGTAACGTATGTTTATGTTGCAGTATTTATTATTTTTCCAAACTGTCACAATTCCAATCAAGACAAAATGAAACTAAAAAGCTAAACAGCTAAATGGGGATAATGGTTGAGTCTGCTGACAGAAACCACTAAGCACAAATGAGTTAGAGTTGGTGGTTTTTGGCGTGTGAGGTGGCTTCTGAGAGTCGACCCGGCACTGCCATATAGTGCTTGGTCTTACCCCATTGGTCCATCGGATGCCCTTCTCCGATACAGGAGTTTCTTCCTCATCCATGAAGGTGATCCGGCTCTCTTTGTTGCGGAGTGGGGGGGTGATGGAGCGTCCTGGAGAAGCAGACGGGGTGGCGACGGGTGTGGGCCTCAGGCTGCTGCGCAGGATGGACTGGGGAGTGAAGGCAGAGAACACGGGGCCAGAAGCAGCCAAGGCCCGCGCTCGCTGAGAAAACAAAAACTTGAAGTGTAAGCAACAAATATTCTAAATTATCCAGGGTTACTTAGTCAATTAATGAAAAGAAAAAAAAAATGTATATAAACAGCATTTTTTCAAATCGATTTAACTTCTTAAGATATCGTGATGAGTAAGCGTTTAGGTGTTGATTTCTTACCTTGACAACCTGTGGTGTTCGCAGCAGACTGAGTTCAGGGGCCTTGCCGATACTCTTTGGAGAAACCCAGGAGCTGAAAGGTCCGGGAGGACTGAGCAGAGGGCGGGGGGTCGTACAGGAGGGGTGAACCACCAAGTCCTTCAGCCTGGTTAGATAAATATTAACATCACATTATTATTTGTTCTTTTTGACAAATGATCAAACAAATTGTTTTTGATTAAATTGTGTCAGAGGAATAAAGCTCTCATGAGAGTACCTTGACTTTCGTCTGGAGGTCATGGTGATGGGAGTCCCCAGGAATGGCTCAGAAAGGGCCATGGAGGAGGAGGAGGAGGGCTTGGGGCTGTAAGCATCAGCAGCCCTCGGACTGGCAGACACATTTTTTTTAAAGATTAGAAAATAAGATTATTCTTTTAAAACCAATACAAATTAATAACTTGAGTTGCCATGTTTGTATTTTCTGCTCACCTCCTGCCTGGGGAGGACTGTGGTGAAGCTCCTTTGCCCAACCACACCTCCTCAATCTTGGACAGAACATTGTTGATGAAGCCGGCCCTCGACATCACCTTCTCACGGACTGAGTGTCTGGTGATGGTTGACAGTGGCTGTGGCCGAGAAACTGTATCACAGGAAGTGAGTGTATTATTTATATTGGATAAATAATGTAACTTTAGCAGAGGTTACATTTAAACTAAAATAACAGACACTAATGCTGTGGTTGCACGCAACATATATGTTTCTTGGAGCAAATAGAAATAGACAAAAGTTTAAGTTGGGCATCTGCTCACTTTCTCGGTGGATGGCGTTGGGATGCTGGTACGGCTTCCCTTTCTCCATTGCCATTTTCCTCTGGACTCTGGGCAAAACTTTGCCGTACTGATCCAATATCGAGTTCCTGGTGATGGAGCGTTCTTTAAGCTTTGGGTCTCGCTCATTCTACAAACAAAGAAGAGAGAGAATGTGGTTATAAATATTATGGGATTTGAGTATCTTCTTTCTTGCACACTGATAGGATTTACATGTTTGGAGAAATGACTAAATTGATTAAAAAAGAAGGAATTTCTACTGTTGAATATGAGTCATATTTTAACAAAACATGAGCACTATAAATGTGACAAACTATATCTCAAGTTAATGCTGGGATAACAACCCTAGTAAAATATACCAGAGCGTCAAACCTACCGCGAAGTTCACTTTGAGCCTCTGGTTGAGCTGCAGCGCAGGAATGTATTTGGCCTGCTGGAGGTAATGAACCATCAGCAGTTCTCTGTTCTGGAGACCCCCTGTCCCCTGGAGGAACTTCTCCAAACCTTCCTGAAACACAAATCCAAGATCCGTGAATTTGAGGCATTGACTTTAAAATCCAAAAACAAAAGAAAGGAATAATCTAAAAGAAGAATAATGGAATTTAAAAAAAAAAATCAGATAATGAACTTGTGTCCCTCCCACCTGCTCAGTGACGCTCAGAGGAAGTTTGAACAGCTCTGGGATGAGGCCCAGCTCCTGGCAGCTCTCATACAGAAAGGCCAGCAGCTCTTCCATGTTGAGGCGATTAGAGTGCTGCCGAAGTAAGGACCACGCCTCTATGAGACACCTGGATTAGCAAAGGTAAAATAAGACATCAAGAGCTGACAGGAGTTTTATCATGCTCATTTCCTAAAACAAAAAGACATGAATTCTTGTGTTTTATAGTACATTTATATGAAAGTTGTTTCTGCTAGTGGTTTGCACACGGTCTTTTCCCTTTGTTCTTACTTGTTGTGTATAAGTACAGACAGGTAGAGTTTGGCCTGGGAGGTGGAGGAAACTGGGGGCTTCGTAACGTGGAAGTATCGGAGTGCCACTGCTTGTTGGCTCTGGCACATCAGAGCATGCAGGACGCGCTCGTGCTGCCACTCAAACTGACACTGAGAGGCCGCTGGATGCAGGAGCAACTCGAAGGAACTCTGAGCAGGAAAAAGAGAACATCAGTGTCAGAAGAGAGTGAATGAATGAAGTGTATCAATCATGTGGTTTGTTAACACTTTTGAAGCTCTCTGGACTTGCACGTCTTTATATCCATATCTACATCCAAACAAAATCAGTCAAATGTGTCAGAGGGGGTGTACCTGGTGGTCGTGATGGTCCAGCAGCCAGAGGCCTTGAACTAGTTTCACCAGTCCGATAGGGATGGCAAAGGCTGGGGGGAAAGACTCCACTGAGGCGCCCTCCTTATTGGGGAAGGAGTACAGAACATCCAGCAGCAGGTAAATCACCTGGGACAACAGGTCAAGGATCATACATGAGGTAGGCTTACGAGTTTGAGATTTACAACTAAGATCAGTTAGATTGTCAATTAAACGAGCCATTTAACCCATTGAACACCACGTAAGTAATTTCATACATAACTTAGCATTATCAATAGAAAGGATACAATTGCATGTTTGGTAGATTCATCGATGTTGTCTAGGAGATAGATGTCCAACAACGCCTGTGGAACAATACAAAAATCAGGTATAAAATCAAACTGTAAAAGCGGCAGATAAAACTTAAATTAGACACGAAAGAGAATGTAGAAAAAAAATGAGATAAAGAATACATTTGTTTAACGCTTACATGCAATGTAGGTGGTGGGTATTGCCCAGTGCCATTCTCATCCCTCTTCCACAGGTTGGTCAAGCGCTCACCACACTGGCCGACCAAACCGTCAATCATCAGGCAGTCGGCACACCACTTGCCCCTGAGAACAGCCAGCAGAGGGTCAGCATCGTATCAACTTAGAATAACACCGTTATAAAAAAGATTTAATTCAGAGAAATATTGGAAGCTGCATTCATAGATTTTAAAATATATGCAAGACTGAATTGATTTCAAGCAAAGATGACTCACTTAGACAGCCTGGCGAGCTCCTCTCTGCGTATAGTATAATAGTTGCTGATGACAGAGTGAGTGTAGAAAGGCCTGGAGATCTGGAGAGCGTCATCTTCTGGTGGGGAGGGCAGTTACAATCATACAGTGAGAATTCAGTAATATTCAAAAGTTTGGCAACCCAAAAAAACATGCAGATAATATTCTGTTAAAAAAGTAAATAACATTACCAACTCAGAAACATTTTCAATTGAAAGTTGTTAACAGCATCCAGACAAACCCTAACTGCACATTCCACAATTCCTTTATGCTTAAGATATGTGTAGGTCAATGGGATCATTGTCCTGCTAGCAAACAATGTTTTCACTGACTCAGAGGAACAGTGTAGTTTGAAATTGCTCAAAAGGTTGAATGTTTATGCCAACAACACCTCACCTGATCCCTCCGGCAGCAGACCGGTGCGACAGAACCAGAGCACCACCTGAGCGTACTTTGAAATCAGACTGGACACCAAGTTCTTGTTTACCAGACCCACCATGCCTACACAAGGAAAAGATATAAGCAAAACCTCTCAATAAACCTGAATGACTCAAAACAACACCACAAGAGCTTCTCGGTCACTGCATATGGCTGATCAAAGGACACTGCTTTATAGCTCAGTGTAATAAACCATAAAGACACTATTTTATTGACTTCAACACTCAATACACATTAAAACAGTTTAGCATGAATGAGAGTTCAGTGTTTCCAACAGAATGTGATTCTATTTGTAGGGGCACCGTGTGTGTCTGAGTATGTTGCACCTTTTTGTGTGAGTTCCTGAGCTTCACTGAGCAGACAGTGGAAGATGGTGCTGAGGTTACTGAGCAGTCTCTGGCTGTGCTGCAGCAGCTGCATGGTCTGAGGGTCTGTGAAGTTGGAGGAGCTGTCAAACAGCGGTGCACCTAGGGAGCAAACACACACATTCAAATGTCAATGCCAACAGGATGGATAATCAACCTGAAGGGTTACTTTACCTTGCAGACACGTCAGATCTAATCTATTTAAATGTATTACTAAAGAGCCTGAGTGGTCGCCAAAATAAGGTTTGTCAGATGTCCATTTCTTTAAAACTGAGAACATTTCTTAAGACTTCATAAGATCACTTCACTAATTCAAAGATGATCAATGTTATTAAAAAAAAGCACATTTAAGTATCACTGAGACTGCTTGGTGGATTTCAAAGTTCTAAGGTTCTTGTATTAGTATAATTCAGAATGTCTTTTCATTAAAAAATAAAATAATATTACAACTTACAGATGCCATCCAGGTCCTCCTTGGTCTGGACCACTTTGTTCCAGGCCCAATCCAGGATGTAGCGCAGGTTCAGTGCAGAGCCTGGTTGTTCTGTTAAGAAGGGACAAAATGAAAAGCTTTAGAGTTGAATGCATTTATGTAAAGGGACTGAGTAACGACATGTTTCTATGTGTGAGATGAAGCCATAGAGAGAAACAAGAGCATGCGTTTTTTGCCAGCATAGTTGCATATATGGCTGCATAATAATGCCGTGAACATTTTGAAAACAATTTGACAGTTTTTATCAATCCCAATGACTCCTCACCTTCTGCGGTCCACTGCTTGATACAGCCAGTGATCATTCCCAAGGAGCTGGTCTCCACCGCTGTGGACAGTATGGCATCCAGCTGCTCCTCCTACAGGCCAACAATACGTTACGTGTACCAATTATTGCCAGGTCTTCTGAATGAAATTGTTTTGTAATGGAAAATGAAAGAAGGGAGTCACTTTAGCATGTGTGTGTACCTGAGAGAGGCTGGAGGGCTGGGTGTCAGCCAGGCGAGAGGAGAGGAGGCCGGACATGAGGCAGCGAGAGTAGCTGTTGGAGATGACTTCACTGGAACAAGGAGCAGCTTTCTTCAAAAAGCTCAGGGTCTGGTGATAACAAAGGTGAGGTAAGGTTTAAAATAATACTATTTTCCATTAGAGCTGCAATGGTAAGTTGACTCATCAATAAATTAATAGATAGATAAATAATCTTCAACTATTTAGACAATTGAAAATGCTGTTTTGCTTCTCTCTATTACAATCACATTAAACTGATGACTTAAAAAACAAGACATTTGAACATATCAGCTTGGAGTCACACACACACACACACACACACACACACACACACACACACACACACACACACACACACACACACACACACACACACACACACACACACACACACACACACTTTGTGAAGGGAAATTATTGTTTAGCATTAGCACAACAACAATTCACATCCTAAGTTGGCTGAGTAACCTAAAAAGCAAACATTGAGAAGCATGCCTTTAAATATATGTACGGTCAAAAATGCTTTCAACAAATTGAATGCAATGTCATACAATTAATGACGAGGTGAAAGTATGCATGATTGAAAATTGAACACAAGAATCTCACCTCTTTCTGATACCCAGAGCAGGTCGAGTGCACAATTCCAGAGGTGATCAAACAGGTAACATCTGGAACATGAAAGCAAGAAAAACTGTTTAGTCTACCTTCACAGTAGAACAATGCTTCAGAGGCCAGGGCTCGAGCTTAAGGACGTCCCGTCGTCGAAAAAAATAGTATCTGGGAGGATAAAAAATAATTTTGGGACGAGAGTTAAAATAAAAATACCCTGCTAACTCTACTACAAACGGCGATGAAAATGAAACCGACTGCACGTTTTGTGTAGCACACAGTTATTAAACCTCCTTGTCAACATAAACACATGCACAAAACATTTAGCAGCCCGCAAAATACACACACAGTACGTAGCTATAGCTGTGCCCGCGAATTCCTGGCCCGCAAATTCGCGGGTCTAGCTATGTACTGAGTGTGTGTATTTCGCGGGTTGAGTGATGTAAAATGACAATGGTAGTATCCCGTGGAGGAATTCTGAAATGTTTTACCGTTACATCACAAAAACGCACAGCAGAACCAGACCCTGGAACGCCGGCCTCTTTATTTACTTACTCCTCTTCATCCCCTATGGGTGATAAGCAGTGTTGGGCAAGTTACTTCCAAAATGTAATATATTACATATTACTTATTACTCTCTTTTGAAAGTAATAAGTTACATTACAATATTACTGTCTCTGGTAAATTTATGGATCGATAAGAAAACGCCAATAAAACCACTTTCATTGATTTTTCATTGATTTCTACACATTGA